CATAAGATCTAGAAAATAGTCAAATTAAAATTGTGTAAAACTTGTGAGTAAAATACAGTTGTCATTCATATACTTGGAAGTCCATGAGATAGGAGTACGAGGTTAACAAGTTAGTGACTTTAATGGACAAAATGGGAGGTAGTAAAAAGAAAAGAGTAAATATAGAGGGGAAAATTGCAACCACAGTACCAAACATTTCATTTATTAGCAGACTTCTTCCAAATCGTTTTTTTGTGAGGTATCAAACCTTTAAAAAAAATCTCATCTGGAGTCCAAAGGAATGTAAACCATTCGTTTGACTATTAGTTGACCAGAATAATTAATTTTGACCAAATAAATTTTACAATTTTAACATAAGAAAATTTTAAAAATTCAATTAAAAATGAAAAAAAAAAAAAGGCTACCACTCTTCACCTTCTCCTTCATATCCCCACCCCCACTCCCCTTTCCTACCCCACCAGGAAAATTCAGCTCAGTTGTGTATTGCAGATTGTTGACTGCCCCTGAAGTTTCATCAGGCTTATTCATGGTCATGTGACTTTCCATTAATGTGCCTATTGAGATCTATATTGCTTGAGGCTACCACTCTTCACCTTCTCCTTCATATCCCCACCCCCACTCCCCTTTCCTACCCCACCAGGAAAATTCAGCTCAGTTGTGTATTGCAGATTGTTGACTGCCCCTGAAGTTTCATCAGGCTTATTCATGGTCATGTGACTTTCCATTAATGTGCCTATTGAGATCTATATTGCTTGCACTCTACAACTATTTTTAAAGAAAGCAAAGGCTACCACTCTTCACCTTCTCCTTCATATCCCCACCCCCACTCCCCTTTCCTACCCCACCAGGAAAATTCAGCTCAGTTGTGTATTGCAGATTGTTGACTGCCCCTGAAGTTTCATCAGGCTAATTCATGGTCATGTGACTTTCCATTAATGTGCCTATTGAGATCTATATTGCTTGCACTCTACAACTATTTTTAAAGAAAGCAAACGCGTTGTATACTGAGACCGTCCGGCTCGATCTGCACAAATTGAACTCAAAAAAATAAAAATAAAAAAAATTGAGAAATCGACATAATTTTTGTTTATCTGCTTGCTTCAAAAAAAGTTCCTCCTTTAACAGAAAGTGTGAAATTTTTGAAGAACAAAATCTATAACAGAATAATAGCATGCACACTTGTACACCAGTCATGGAATATTTGCAGAAGTAATTTAATCCATTAAAGTAAAACCCTAATTCATATATTTCTTGGAGATAAACTAAAAAAAAAATACTAAAGTTAACAAAGAGAAAGAATCTGAGTTGGTGCTTGCTTATAGAATTCGTGGTGATGACAAGCAAGAAAAGGGGAGTAGGGGTGGGGCTGGGGCTATGAAGGAGGTGAATTTCTTATGTCAAAATTGTAAAATTATAATTTTGTTCTTTTATGTTTGGTCAAAATTAATTATTCTGGTCAATTAACTATCAAACGGATGGTTTCTATCTATTTGGACTCTAGCCGAGTTTTTTTTTTAAAGGTTTGATACCTCCAGTGACATAAATGAAAAATTTGGACAAAGTTTGCTAATAAGTAAAGGGTTTAGTACCTTGACTACAATTTTCCCTAAATAGAGAGATGGCAGACATGGAGATGTGCATTTTTGGTGGTGATGGTGGGTAAAGTGGTCAAGGTAGAAGGCAAATTTTGAATCTGAAAATTTGGAGAAAATGGATTAAATAAAAGGTGGAATGATGTGAGATGTGGTAGGGTGTACTATATACCTATATTTTGAAAGAATGAACTTAAATTTTGATTTTTGAAATAGAAAAAAACAAGAATGAATGTAATTTTTTCTTGTGTAAGTTACCGTTTGAGAAAGGTGGTATTTTTCTTGATACAAACCTAGTTATGCTACTGTCCTGCTGACATGACCCGTTCCAAATTACCTTAATGGATTCGACACGTGTCATGCGTCGATGGTAGATACCAGGTAAACGTCGGACCCACCACCAAGGCAACTTGACTTGCTTGACTGAAAAATATTTTTAACAAAATTTTGACAGAGTTCCCCTTGAAATATGAACTAAAACCACTAAACAACAACTAATTTTCTTCAAATCAATACCTATAATATAAATAGGATACGTCAATCCCTCAAAATACAAACTATTCAAATAAAATGTCGGCAAATCAACATTTCCTTTCTTTGCAACCAACATTTCTCAAATATACTAAAGTCACCAAATATGCAGTGAACCCATGATAACCTTTTCTAACATAAACTACATACAACTCAAAGAAACATATACTACATAGTCTGGTAAAGTAAGCCATACAACCTATGACGCGTGACTCAATATGGCGGAACAACAGGCACCAAAGTTGCTCAATTTAGCTGCTATTTGATAAGGAAAAATGTGAAAAGACATATGAGCTTATAGCTCAGTGAGTGGATAATTTGCGAATAAATATACTTTTTCCATTTCTACATATTTTCTGAAATTTCTAGCTTTATTAAATCTTTAAAAAATTCTAAAATCTGGTAACACTTTTAAAACCAAAACATGATTGCATCATACAATTCTTTGTTCTTAATTCTAGATAAGTAGATGTAAAGTTAACGAATAATCTGATATTCATGAAAATCTATGAAATATTGCTACTGGTCAATACTATGAGCTGAAAACTTTATTCTGAAAACTGTATTAACTGAATTCCATAATCTGAAATCTGATAACTGAATAAATATTGAAAAATCACACCAAAAAGAGTACCCAATGAATAGCCTTACACATGTACAGAGTAATCTCGATGTACAAGGCAAGCAATTCAAATATGATAATCTGATAGTTAATAATCTGATAATCTGGTCATACGTACGCAGAGCTGCCCCAAATGCTAATCACCCTAGTACACGGCCCAAAGCCTATGTGTGTACGAGAGTGGGTCCCAAAGACCTCTGATAATCTGGTCATACACTATGGAAACACATTCACGATAGTATAGAGCGGGTAAAATCACTATACTGATCATACGCTGTGGAAACACATTCACACCATTGCAGAGTGGGTAAAATAACCATATGAAGTCATACACTACGGAAACATATTCACACCAGTGCAGACGAGGGTAAAATCATCGGGGTACTTTTTGGTGGTTTTTAGAAAATAACTTTAAATATACCGAAACATGTAATAAGAATATAACATGCTACTAAAATAATTTAACTGAACTGAATTTAACTTTAAAAGAAATTGATAATAAAATCCATTTTATTCTGAAAATCATGCTATGAAGTCAACTTTATAAAATAAATAATTTTAAAATTTAAAGAAGACTTATTTCTGAAAAATAAGTTTTATCCACTCACAAAGTTATAGTCGATCATGGTTTCGATATTCTCGTCGCCTCATCACTTTCAAATTCCGAGTATGATATCATGCTCTCGCTGTAATAAATCATATCCCTTCACAAGCGTTCCTCGAATATTTTCCTACCATTAGAAATAATAATTTACCAATGAAAACTTCACATATTTTATTTTCAATCTCATAATCTCATTTAGAGTCATTAACAACATATATTTCTTTATATAAATTATTTTAACACCAAAACGTCAAATATTTAACACTTAATTTGGTTCCAATACTAAAATCCACCAAAATTAGATGATTGACAAAACTAGCACTATAATTCCATAATATTGAAAACTGACACCAATTTCTGAATATTGAAATGTGTCACCAAAAACATTGACAGAAATAAACCTTTCTGGGCAGAATTTCAAAACTAGCACCTGTTTTGCAAAAACTCGAAAATTGCTACAAAAAAATGGAGAATTTCAACCTCAAATCCTTAATTTAAGTTTTTAGCATCACATAATTCCAAGAATTTCAAATAATATGCCTTTATATCAAAAACCCATTTCCAAAGTTTTCACTTTCTTCAACATTAATTTCCAAGCACATATTTCTTTGACATATACTTATTTTAATCAACCAATACATATCAATAACACATAATTCTTGCTAGACTTTGAATTAAAGCAAGTTTTCCATAACCCTTAAAAATTTAATTCAATAAATTTATACTTATCATTCTAAACCAAATGAGAAATTGAAGAATTTGAGAACCCTAACTTGAAAATTCTTCTTCTTCTCCTCCTCCTCCTCCTCCTCTTCTTCTTCCTCCTTCTCTCGGTCTCTCTCGATTCTTCACTCTCTCTTTCCCCAAAATATATGAGAAAATACATAAAATAAATGCTATTTAATGGGTAAATATTAAATAATTGCAAGGCAAGTCTACCATTTTCAGACAATATTACAGTTAGCCATTTCTTTTTCTATAATAGAAACTAAATCCTTGGATTCCTTTATTATATCATTCCTAACCTTCAATTACTTGAAATTTCAATTTAAGTCCCATAAAAGTTATTTGTTCAACTTAAGTCCTTAATGACTTTGACTTTGACCAAAATTTTTTCCTTGACTTTGACTAAAAAAATGAGGGGTGTGACACCTGTCCCCAGAGTACATCTCCAAGTGGTAAAAGGGGAGAGTAGAGAAATCTAGCTTTATTTGAGACTGTTGCGTCAAGGGTTTGAATTCTGAAATATGGATTTGGCTCTTGAGTATGTGCAAGTGTACAAGTAGCTCTCCACCCTATATCCTTGGAGGCATAACCTGCGATTTACCTCCCTCACGATACTCCAGAATAGGGGCGGTGGGGACCCCTAAGGCTGGAGTTCAACCTTTTAGTTATGTTGTTGTCCTAATTATCACTGAAAAGGGATCCAAATTGACCCCAACATTTGGATTCGGTCGATTTTAATGGGTTAGCAGTCTAAATGGAAGACTCCCAAGAAAATATTAAAAAATAAATAAAAATAATAAACAAATAAATCCGGGTTCATTCTCGTCCAGTTGAACCGAACCGGAGACCGAGTATATTGCCCTAACGGCAGAGCTCCTCTAATAAAACCTCCTCATCTATTACAAAAATCATTTAGGTGCACAGTTAAAGTTTGCTGAAAGAGAAATGGAAACGGCTGCACAAACAGACATCCCAATTAAATGGGATTTCAGTTGGTATCTCTCTTTATTTGTGTGTATTTCTTTTTATATACATATTGTGAATATTATGGATAATTAATCAAGATTACAAGTGGAAAACAATGTTTGCCTTCACTGTTTTTAGATTCTGTCCTGTTTTTGCGGTAATATTAATATTTATTTGCTTGAATCAACATTTTGTTGTGTTTTTTCTCGATTTATGACAATTATTGCTTTTAGATAACATATATAGTTATCGAACGAACACGCAAGGAAATTAATATGGACTCGAGAAACCTGTATTATAGAAAAGACTGTTTGATCTAAAAGGCATGTTTAACATGCAATATTGGATAGGAATAGACGATTAAATACACAAGAATTTAACTTCTGGCTTAATCGAAGAGTTTTTCTTAAAAGTGATTGTGTTATTGCTGAAAGTTTCTGACTTTTATTTTTGCTGCTGAAGCCTTGAACCTTATTTTGTAGATTTCCGTCTAATAGTCTGTTAGAAAACTCTGTTGTTTCATAATTCTTGATTATATTCTCATCTTTGATAGCTTCTCTTAAATTTGGATTAGACTGAGCGATGCCCCCTTGTATAAATTATTGAACTTGTACTTTCATAGTTAAAAGCAAAATGTAGAAAATTTATGTAATAAATCTTAATTTAATTGTGCTTCATTGAACTTGCATTTTATGTCCTCTGCTCTTGCGTTTTACTGCATGATCCTTCCCTGTAACTAAGTGCTTGATATTGGTTTCTGCAGATTTAAGTTGCAAATTGACCATTTGTTCAAAAGGTTTTAATGAATCACTTTGGGCTTCTTTCTTCCCCAATTAAAGCTCACAATTTGGATTTTCTTGCATTTGTAGATTGGCCAAGAGAAGGGTTGGGAAAAACCATGTAACCAAATTATTTGAGAATTTCAGATTAAAAAAATAATAATAATCTGTAAAACTATTAATATTATTCTACTTTGTTTTCCGTTATTGAGTTTGCAATTTCATTAACCACCATTTTCGTTATTCTATCTCAAGGTCCCCTAAGGAGCTTAATTGTATCCAATCCCCTAGGAATTTTATGCCCAATCTATGAACAGTTGTGGCGAAGAATGGAGAGAGAAATAGAAGAAGAGAAGAAACACGAGAGAGGAAATATAGGAGAAGAGAGGGAAGAAAGGAAAAATTATATGTAACTCAATAATCAATCATAAATAGTCTACTAGACTGTACAAATTGATGCTCTGGTCCCCATTTTAAAATTGTACAAAAATTAAATTAAAGGAAACTTCTAAATTCTGGTATGTTAGAAGCTTATCAGATTTTAAAATCCTTGTTAATCATGCCCAGTCTAAATCAAACTCTAATTTTAATCCTATTTCTCCTAGTTGACATTTTGAATTTTGCATCAAATGGTCTAACTACACTGAATGATGGCATTTCCATTTTCAGAAAGAAAGTATGATTATTCATGCTGTAGATCAACATCGACTGATATAAGGCCAATGTTTCGGCACATATATGCCAATTAGATAGTATATTAGGACAAAAATCCAAACGAATATGTTCTTCTCTTGATGTATTCAAGTGACTACATGGTGATTGTTGGTGTATCCTTGGGTGTACGAAAAATAGTACAAGCTGTTCATATATATATATATATATATATATTTATATATATATATATATATTTTTTTTTGTCAATTATGTTGTTTTATTGCCAAATATGATTGTTGTTAGTAAACCTAAAATGATATCTGCAGCGACTTGGACGTAGATTACGAGTCCGAGGAAAATGCTTGCATGGTGTATTCAGCTTTAGCAGTTGATAAGGAGGTAAACATAATATGCTATCGCTGGTTTGTACTTCTGTTGAATTCAATTGTCCTGAAATTATAATTCGATTTCAAATGACAGTTGCAGCCAGACAAAGTGAAAAGACAGATGACAGTCTCTGATGGGAAGCTTTCAGTGTGAGAAGTCCTTCTGTTTACCCCCGTTTTATATGTATTTTCAGCATATTCTAAGAGATTATTGGTGGATTTATGGACCATTAAGGAGAGTTGACTTACTTTTAATTTGCATATGCATTACTGGAATCACTTAATGTCACTGCTCAAACTAGTGATTACCAGTTTGGTTCTCTGAATGCTCGAACACACACACCAGATTTGGACCCAACTGTCAAAAGACTATTATTTCACAAGGATACAATTGGGTTAAAACAATTTTTTTCTTCCATTAACATAACTGACCAACTGGCAACTGCAGATAAGTCCATCACCTGGAAATAAACTGGCCTTTACAATCTTAACCATGAATCTCACTGCTGTAGTTTAGAGCTAATGATAATAGCTCCAAATCTCTCGAGAACGGGTTTTCAAATAAATACTAGTCTTAACACAATTGTAGAATTCCATTACTTGAGTGTAATTGGCTGTTTTCATTATTTTATGGTAATTTTTTATTTATCATCTTGCGTTTAGATTATTGCACTAGTGGATTTTTTTGGATTTGATAGTTTATCAGCTTTCTCCAATTCTCCATATTCTTTGCAAATCAGCTAGTCATTATAGTATTCTTAGGATTCAACATAAATTAAAGGTTTGTTAGCGATTGTTTGTGCTTTCATCATTTTCATACACGCTTCAAGACCGTTAAAATAAACCTTATGGCTGCGGGCTTAATATTTTTCAATCATTTCTTTTGCAACTTTCTTCTATGTTTTAGGAATTTGAACCATGATTTCTTCTACTCTTCCTCATTTATGAGCAGGCACTTTGAGGCAGTTGAAGCAAGATTTCTTCGTGCATCATATACTGCTTTCGTTGATGTTCTTAAACTCGTGACCAAGACTGTCGAAGAATTTGGTAAAGGAATGGAGTTGTAACATATTGAAATATATAATTGAGTAAATGTTATGGTTCATAAAATGATAATTGATATTCTTATTAGTATATTGTATGAAATAGCCCCAAGTCTCTAGTTATTTTGTGTAGCCATTGATTGATAATTCCATAGATCTTGGATAATCTCTTATTTATTTTAATTATTTTAGAGTAAATTCCAGTTGGGGACGTAACTTTTCATTTGTGACGTCCAATTCCCGGAATGGTGAAAAGTGTGCAAGCATCATCTTCTACAATTGACCAAGAAATGGCATTCTGGTGATTAAACTAGCACGCTACACACATGATATCCCTTAAAATTTTGAGAATTTCCGAAGTAAAGTGTCTGAGGAATCATAAGGGTGTCGAGCTTTGGAAATAAAGTAATATTTTATAAATGATTGCTTATTAAAGTTTTTTCACAAAAGAAAGAATGAGTTTATACATTTTTACCCCTTTAGTAGGCATCACATGAGTTTTGCTAGCTAATTTATTGGCTTAGATAATTTTTCCCCCTTTTTTGGGAATGATGAACGCACGCATGGACACTTTCCGTAGGTTGGGGACCAAGATCTACGAATGGAAGGTTAGGAACCACATTGTTACAATTATCCAAGGTTGAGGGCACCAAAAGAAATTTAACCATTATATTACTAGAATTAACATGAAACAAGCCTCTTTCCTTGTTCCGGAGTGATTTACTCCTAAACTCACCTTGAAACTAGTAAGACTGTAACCATGGCCTTCAAGACAAAAATAGCTATTTGAACATTCTCAAATCATGAAAAACAAATGTTTAAATAAAATTTCGTTTACGTAAATTTTAAAAAATATAAAAATATAAAATTCAAACCTATAAAATTTAAAAATTCAAAAAATTTTAAAAAATATATTAAAAAGTAAATTCTAAAATTCTATAAAAGAAAGTTTAAAATAAAAATCTAAAAAAATAAAACTATGAAAAAATTCCAGAAAAATAAAATTATAAAAAATTAAAAATTAAGGTAGTTCAAACTAATTAATGATTATTTTATACAAACATTCAAAAAAAAAAAAATATTTAAAGGACTAAAGATAAAAATATTTTTAGTTAACGTTAGTATGATTATTTTTTTTTTAATTTCCTACATTTTGAGCTCAATTTATTATTTATTTTTATTTACTTGTGTTGCGAGAAAAATATTGTAAGATTTATTAATTTTAAAATGTATACATTACTTGATAACATAGTAATATAAAATTATTTTATTTTTACTGAATAATCAAATTTCATGAAATGAAATATCTTATGTGAACCCATGTAACAATAGTAGTTCCAAACTTATAGAAGATTGAATTATAATCCAAGAAAGCTACAATATCAGTTTGAAGCCTGGCCCAATAATTTATTAAGCCCTTTATTTGAGCTCTATTCTTCTAAAAATTCAATTCTTTAAAAATTATTTTTAATAATGTAGCTCAAACAAAGACTAAATCAAATAACCAATGTTATGAAAGAACTTGACCCCTTAATTACAAAAACTATGAATCTTGTCTATGAAATTGTTGAATGCCACAACGATGAAATCTTTGATAAATTCAAAATTAAGTTCAATGAAGAAAAAGAAGAAAGAAACATTGCTTTGATTCAATCTCTCAAAATAATGTGTTGTTTTTTAGAATGAAAAGAATGAATCATATTTATAGTAAACCCGATGAAAACTTAATTAAAACGGAATTAAATAAAAAAGATACCATAATAAGAGTTATACCGAAAAATAGATTTGTAGGAAAAAATATAAAAAAAAACTAACTATGCTACCGCATAATAATTACATACCAAAATCCCACTTCTTTATTTCAAGAATAGTGTATGTTACAGCACCTTGTTTTATACTATATGACAACATAGTTATCTGAGTGTCTTCCAATCTTGTCTTCTTGATTCCAATGCATCCAACTTGTTTCTGCCTTCATGCCTTACATGAAACTTGGTGTTTGGCTTGTTAATTTTGAACTCTTGCTCTCTGTAGTTTGAACAAGTAAATGCATGGTTTCATTGATCATATTTGCTCATGACCTCATCATTGATTCCTTTTCAAGTTGAGCCGATCTTTGTAAGTTTTGTTGCCCTCCATGGATCAGGTAATTTCCTCCCTCCCTCTTCATGAAATTCGTCCTCAAATCTTGACCCATATTAAAGAGAAAGATCAATAATATGGAAAATAGTAAATACCTTATACTTACCTTGAAATCAGTCTTGTAAGCATTATCATTAATAATTTTGATCACTTGGAATGGTCCATCTCCCCTAGGATGTAATTTAGACTTCCTTTGAGTTCGAATATTTTTTTTCTCTCTCTCTCTCTCTCTCCATTTTTTTTTGGGTATATGCACCCAAATCCAATCATCTGGATCAAATAATACACGCTCAACTTCTTTCTTTCATTAGCGTGAAAATGCATAATGGTTAATCCTCTTATTTTCCCTTAAAATACGACTTTCAACAACATATAAAGAAATTAAATTAAAAAAGTTACTTGATTAAAAGAATACATAATGTCAATGTGTGAATACAAAGTGGAAGAGATTAGTTTCATTCTTAACTTAGCCCATAAATTCGACCCAAAATAGTTGAGGAACTGAAGTTTGTCAAAATATTCTTCTTGCTTTAAGACATCCATAACACATTTCAAATGCATATCATATTCATCTGGACTCATGCAATAAACTAGAATATCATCTAACTTAAATATGAGATGACGATATGTTATCATTAGTGAACTCATGTTTACCCTACGTTTCCTTTGCTCTTAACCTCCCCAATCGATTTATAAACTCTTTTGCTTTTTCAGGGAAAAAGTAATCAACCTCCTGAAACAAAGAAATATCCTTATGAGGGTGGGGTTAGTTAGTCTCATCAATTTGTTGTTTAATGTCCTAAATGGATGGTAACCCAATAGGCATGTTTTCATGAACCAAAGTCTTCGAAACCCTACAATAAATAAATAGCCAAATTAGGGAGGGGTTTGTTAGTCCTCATTAAAACCCTCTCAATTTGACTCTCTTTTTCATGGAGGTTCACCTTTGACTCTCTTTCTTTTCTATCTTGTAGCTTCACTCTTTTTTCTTTATCTTCAACAACCTCTCTATTTTCTTTTCCACTCTCCATTTTTTTTCTTGTGGCTCTATCTTTGTTCATGATTTTCAACCACCTCTCTATTTTCTCTCTTAGTATCTCTTTTTTTTTTTTTCCTATTTTTGTTTCTCCATATGATCAATTGTTTGAAAATGAATCATATTATGAAATTTGAAACTTCCCATCAAATCAATAAACTCACTACGCTTCGTAACAAGTGCTTGATCTACCAATTGGTACTCTATTCCATCCAAGTATCTATGATTTCTTCTAGACCCCCTTTAACACCTACCTTTTCTATTCCTTATCCTATCAATTTCAACTACCGACATTAGGTTAATTTTAGCACAAGGGTATTTTGCCTCCTAATATCATGAACGCTCCTAGGTTGCCCATTTTGTTAGTTTGCAAATCAATGTATCCCACCTATCCGATCTATCCTTAAATCTTCCCGTACATCACATTCATCCCCTCGAAATTTTGTTGCATTTCCATAAAGAATTGATTATTTTGCTACCTAGATATAGATCTTTCCCTGTTGTTTACTCACGTGTTTGCACTCGTGTATCACTCAATTTGGCTTTCTCCCTCTAATAATCTCACTGCTCTTATCCTTTTTCCTCTTAGTGCTTTCTTTCAAGTTCTCTAAGGAACAAATTGATTTCAATCAATAATTTTCCACCCTTGTGAGACTCAAACCCTAAAGTACAAGTAATTTAAGAAGGATATTGACTCTAGGAAAGGACTCAAGAAACGAAGGAATAGAAGAATTGAACGAAAATACAAACCAAGAATTTCAAGAAAGTGTTTCTTAAAATTGATTTACACATTTTTCACAACAAATTGATATCAATAGATGTATTGAATTGATTTTCTAGAAAGAAAATGCTCTTCAAGAATTTTCAAGAAAGTATTTCTTGAAATTGAATAAGCCTATTTTTGGCTTGGAATTTTCTTTTTCTCTTTGCTGCATTTTTTTTAATTTTCATTTTTTTGACACTAAATACGTGAAAAATCAACAAAAGCAAGATAGATCGAAACAAAATTGTATTGGTATTTATGTTGATGTCAAAGACTAAAAAAGATGATGAAGAGTCGAGAAAGCAATGGAAACTCGATGAAGAAGATGAAAAGAAAATGCGAAAAGATATCGACATAACTTTGATTTTAAAGCTAAATCTCTAATACCAACTGATGTGAGCCCACGTAGCGATAGTAGTTCAAAAACCCACAAAAGATTGAATCACAACCTAAGAAAACTAAAACCTCAGTATGAAACTTGACCTAATAGTTTATTGAATTAAGGAACTAAATTTATGGAAGACCTTGACCTCTTAATTACAAAAACTATGAACCTTGCTATGAAATTGTTGAACGTCACAAAAATGAAATCTTTGATAAGTTCGAAATTAAGTTCAATGAATAACAAGAAGAAAGCAACATTGCTTTGATTTAATCCTTTGATAATAATGTGTTATTTTTTTGTAATACCCCGAACTTCACATTACATCTTTGGCCAATATAATTCATGCATTTCATGCTATTTACAAAGTCATTTGTATTAATTTTCTTAATTGTTTTCTCTTAAAATTGTAGATTCGATTGTTGAGGTTTTAAGATCTTTATATGGTGTTAGTCTTCGACTTATCGACGTAGGTAGTGAATTTTACATTGAGCTATGATAGAAAATTAGGTTAATCGAGATATTAATGATTGACTTGTTAAGCAGTAGGAATCTTGAAATGGCTGGAATTAGTATTGACAAAGTTTCAAACTTTTCATTCGGTTGATCAAGGTCATCCTAAACCCTAAAGAGACATGAGGCATGAAGTGACATGATCACAATACAATAATATAAGTTTTATATAATGTAATAAATATTGAGGTGCCAATTGTTGAAATCGGTCGAGAATCGGGTGTCAATCGGGTAAGTTATTAGATGAACGATTTAGGAAATGGC